CCAGCCCGGACACCCCGCCTCCGACGACGTGACACCCGCACGCGCTCCGTGACGTCATATCCGGCTCCTTTGGCTCCACCTCCAGCCGGACCGAGCTCCGGTCCTCGATGCTTGGTGCGCGTGCGCGGGAGTGTAGCGTTCAACTCTCCTCTAATACAAGGACTAAAATCAGTCCTTTTCATTTCTTTGAAGATGTGTACATCTCCAGTGTCTTGTGAGCCCAAGAAGGAATTAGGTCTGCATTAGGCTAGCTTATGAAAGCTGGCAAACCCTACTATCACTCTCCCTTTAAGTGGCAGAGGCACAAAAGTCAACTTCTATAGCTAGGGGAACAGTTCAGAGCCTCAGCCCACCCCCTGGTGGCCAGAGGGTCTAAAGAGAGTTTACTAGAAAAATGAACTGGACTCATGCCCTTACAATCTATAACCACACAACAGGCAGCTGTGTGACGCTCTCCTTGGAGCCCTAGCAGCCTTCTGCAAGCACTCTTGAGAAACTGTTTTGTAAATATCTCCCCACCACCCACCCACCCCTGCGCTACAGTGCTTAACAGAAAAAAGTTATTTTACAGTATATGTACTTATTGATTATGTGGCTAAAATTGGCTTTCTGTGTACACTCCAACTCCTAGCTTATCCCTAGAGCTAGATGTGGAGTAATATTTTGTACTTTTCACCATTTCTCTGATTGCAGGGCATGCTGTTCTTATTCTTTAGGAGAGGCATTGTAATACGATAGAAAAGCCTACGGCCCAGCCGAAGTGGCTCAGTGGTTGCGTGTGGACCCATGAACCAAGAGGTCATGGTTCAATTCCGGTCAGGGCACATGCCTAGGTTGTGGGCTCCATCCCCAGTGTGGGGCATGCAGGAGGCAGCCGATCAATGATTCTCTCTCATTGCATCCTCACATGGCCAGAGGGGCAATGGAAATTTCTGGAGCCTCTTTTATAAGGGTATGAATCCCCTTCATGAGGGCTCCATCCTCATGATCTAATCACCTCCCAAAGGCCCCCCCACCTCCTAATAGTAACTCTTGGAGGTTAAGTTTCAACATATAAATTTGAGGGGACACAAACATTCAGGGCAAAGCAAACATCTTGGACTCACTCAACCCTCAGTAATTGTTCATTGAATGGATTTCATTGGGAGAGCTAGAAAATGGTTGGCAAGAGATAAATTCTCCAATGTCCTAAATTAAATTACAGTGGATTGGAGAGTGGGAGACAACGGAAGTACTCAGCTAATATGTGTGCTAAAACTAAGAAAAACTACTCATATTCCTGAATGTTTGTTGAAACTCTGAATCAACCAGACACCACTGAGTCCTTCTTTATGAACTTTCGGACTCTTGCCCACAACTAATAAAAACATTAGTAAACATGTCTTCCTTATGGACTAGGCACCTATCCTAGAACTGCCTCTGCTTCATCTTTTCTTCACCCTACCCCTATATCTACAATGTCAATTCTTTCAAAAACAACTTACATCTCTTTTCCCAAAACTCATTGTATAAAAGGGTTCCATCAGCTCCAGAATGGCAGGCGTGTGTGTCTTTTCCATCTGGCCCTGCTGCTGCTGGTTTAGACTGTATGTCCCAGGACCTGGCCATATGGCTGTCATATGGCTCAATAAACTCTTTCACAAAAGTTTGGGGCGGTGAAGGTTTTTGTTTAACATGGTCCTGAATTCCCTGTTCTGCAACTCTGATAGTAATTCTTTTCTGGTCCCCATGTCACATGAATTCTCCCACCTCAGTCATATGTGAGTTGTCCTTGCAAACAGAGACGGAGGCTTTTGTAACAATGATGAATCAGATGGGAACCGTGCTCTGATGGAACTATGAGTGTAGTAGGGGAGAAAAGATACATAAATGATCAGAGAACGTAAAAAATGAGCAGTGAAGTAAGAAAGCTGAAGTTCGCAGGGGTAGCAAATATTGGCAGTTAACTTTGACCAGAGACAAATTGGCTGAGCTGGCTCCTCACTGATTTGCAGTGTTAGCTGGTCACGTCGGTTAGGTTTTTTTTATTTGTTTGTTTGTTTTTTTGCTTTAAATAGTCTACCAGCAGATAAGGCAGTGAGGCAACAGTTTATAATGGCTCACCCGGCAGCTAGTTTAGTGCTCCTATGAAAGAGTTTGTCACTGCAGTTGTGTATAGAAACATTGAAATCTATTTCAAAGACCAAATGTTATCCAGTAATATTTGGAAAGGGATCTCTACCTAAAATAATGTTTCTTTGATGTTTTACTATTCCAAAATCTTTAAAAAATAGATTTGACTTAACAGAGTCTAGTTTACTTGCTAGGCTATATGCTTTCTCAGTGTTTTAAAAGACATTACCCTTTGTGATTAAACACTGCACAGTCCCCTCACCCCCATCCCCACACACACCCCAGCTTGTTCTTCTCTGTGGAGAATCACCGTTTGATAATGATTTAAGTATTCACAAAGCCAAAAGAGTTTATCACTCTCCTTATATGGCACCTTTGTAATCAAACATGCCATGATTGAGGCTACCGATCAGTTCTTATTAGTAAAATATATATTTAAAACACCTTGACCACTTTTTAAAAAATAGACCATTACTTTCTGGGAAATTCTATTTGAAAACCCATAAACAATAAATTTTCCTGAAGAAAATAATTTACAATAAAATGTCCATTGTAGCCACCTGTGACTATGCAGAGGTGAGGTTATTTATTTTAAACAATACCTGCCTTTGTACTTTACAACGAACTGCGCAATCCTAACACTAATTACAGCCGGTTACATTTACAGCCCCAAGCTTTCCTGTATCCATAAACTCACCTCCTTTCTGTCCATCGAGATTATCTTCTCCCAAAGAACTCTCAATATCTGGCCTCGATAAGGTGCAGGCACACAACAAATTAAAAAAACAACAACACAAAAACATGACAAGCAAATCAACGAAACAAAAACACCTGGGGCAGCTAAACTTTCCATTTCCTTCATCTGAGACACCTCCAAGTGCTTTATTTAAAATAAACTGCCTTTGGGTGCCTTCAGGGGAATATATTTAAACAAACAAATTCCTCTATTTTTGATCAAATTAGTGGATGACATTAAAAAAACAAGCTGTTATCACCTCCTTTCTGTCCATCAAGATTATCTTCTCCCAAAGAACTCTCAATATCTGGCCTCGATAAGGTGCAGGCACACAACAAATTAAAAAATTAAAAAAAAACGACAAGCAAATCAACGAAACAAAAACACCTGGGGCAGCTAAACTTTCCATTTCCTTCATCTGAGACACCTCCAAGTGCTTTATTTAAAATAAACTGCCTTTGGGTGCCTTCAGGGGAATATATTTAAACAAACAAATTCCTCTATTTTTGATCAAATTAGTGGATGACATTAAAAAAACAAGCTGTTATATAGGTAACCAAGGTCCAACCTGTTAGAAGACCTCGGGCATTCTCCTATTCTACAAAGCACAGCTTCACACCCCAAAGCATGAGATTGGCAATGTCTGAGACAGTTCCATGGCAACACCTATTCCTCGCCGACCGACCACCCATCCAAAAACCAAGTTTGGGGAAGAGCGAGGCACCAGAACTGGACAAGTCGCCTAAGACCAAGGGCAGCGCTGGCCCCTCCTGTGCCCGCCGGCCTCCCGACATGCGCTCACACACGTAGGCTGCAGCCGGGAGTAGACGCGGGGACCTGCGCC